CACAACTCTAGGGACCTAGTTTCTGAGTCAAAGCTTGGAAACAGTTGAGATCCCCACCCCATAACCATACATAAAATTGCTGGGCATGAAAAATGTAATATAGCTATGCTACAAGGATTGGCCTTGGGGTCTGGCATATTCCCTTGATCTCATTTGGAGAATAGTTTGCCATGATTGCTTAGGTATCCAGGTGAGCGATACAGGCCCTCTGGGCCTCTTGTTTCAAAAGCCTATAGGTAATTATAGCAAACGCTCTTGCGTGAGCCTGCAAGGCGGGCGCACAAAGTGAGCTTCATTGGTAACAAGTAAAAGAAATCCCAGTCAAAATCTACCATGAAATCCCATAGACCTAGCAAGTCAATTCACTTGCATTGCATACTTTGGGAAATCACCCATGCACAAATTCCGTTTATGAATTAATCTATTTCAATACAGAAACATGTGGTCTCCGATAATGTTTCTTTTCTTTTTCAATTTTAACGATTTCTACGACATAACGCCAATTTCCTGGCCCATTTCTAACTTTCGAGACCAAATTTAAAGCCAGCACATATAGATAAAACCTGCATACAACGTCATCAGTCATTGTGACGTCATAATCAATATTTCCTTGGTATATATTTTATACTGATTTTAAGTGGTGTGGTTTAGTCAGACGGTACATGTTATAAAGAATATATGTCAGGCGTCGTTGTTTTGTGATTCTGCTGTAGGCTACCCAATGTGTATGAATATCGTAACATATGAAATACATGTAGTTTCAAATAGAAAATTCACAATCATGAAGTTTTTAATCAAATTCAGTATGAGATCAGGTCGTAAAAACAACAACACCATTATCATAAAAAAGTATCGCATAAGAAATTCGGTCTTGGGTCTATGTAAAAGAGACACATTACGCAAGACACATATGTCAGGAGTAGGGGTGAAGGTTGTATTTCTTTCCATTTTCGAATCTAGTCTACAAACTCATGAAAAGCCAAATTGATCTATATCGTATATAAACTGTACGCATCAAATAATAGAAAAAGGAGAGAGGAATGTAGCGGAACTGGACTGAGTCGATCGTCGGCGACTAGATAGCTCAATTGGTAGAGCGTCCGTCTAGAGTTCGGAGTGTCCCAGGTTCGAACCCCAATCTGGCCTTGCATTTTTCCTCTTCTGTTACATTGAATCGATATACGTAATTAAATTGGCTAACGTCCTCTTTAACATTATATACCGTAATATATCGTAACGCATATAGTCATTATGATACAAATTAAAATATGGTCCATAATACATTGCATAGGGATACAATGTACATGTCTATTCCATTGAATTATATAATGTACCAGCGGCTTTCAAAACAAACCTTTGTGTGCGATGCAATATCATCTAAATTATAAATTCTTACTTTAAAACTATTATCAGGTAGTTACACTATTTTATTCAATAGATTACAACGTATACAGTATACTTTTTTTTAGCGTTCACCTCTAGGTAGTGCCTATTTCATTATTTTTTTTATGTATCTGTAAGAGGTTTCAATTGGAGGTACCAATTCTATGGGATTGATTGAAAATTCATAATCGATGACTGGGTCAATGAGATCTTCAATCTGTGTTAGTGTGTAGTCCATGATCTACAATCCAGCTTAACAAAAGACACTTCTGAAACTTAAGCAACATTTAAAAAATTACACTTTTTCAGATGACAATACATTATAATAGTATTATATCGCAATAACTTCCTTCTGGATTACAAATATATATCATGGTCATTAAAAGGTTTTGCCCATCATTGCTATAATTAATTAGTCTCATTACTTTTAATAATCATCATAAACATTGATATTCATCATAAATATTGATACATGTAGTTACCAGTAATTTCTATATGGCATTTAATTTTGCATTTTTCAGGAGAGATGGTCTTGCTGAATTAATATCCTGTGAAAATGTATATATTCAGACACAAAAAAATACATCCAATATGTTTTTTAGCTTAAATTCCAATTATGGGTATCTAATATACCTGAATATGAAGTGATTTATAGTAATACACATGTATATGTAGTATGTATGTACATATGTATCAGTCATTCATTGTATGAAATTATTTACTATAACCACCATTTTTATGTTTTCTTACAGACAGCAAAATTAAAGAAAAACAAAAGCACAAAAACTCTAAGATGGCTAAGCAGAGAAAGCAGAAAACTGATGCTCGATTGCTCAACATCATCACCCCTCGACAGGAGGACCTGCAGCAGAAACTCCGGGCAAGGATAGAGGAACTTCAAGGTGTGTGATTTATATATACAACTAATAAGCTTTTTGGTTGTGATCAAATTGGTAAGAAAGTTGTGTTGGGAACCTTAAGACGGAAATTATAATCGCAACATCCAAACTGGTAAATCTATTTGAAATATGTGTAATTACGATGGTGTACCACTTAGAAATGGGATTTGCAGCATAATTTTGCCGTGTAAAATCGATCGCTGGCTTGGTATATCCATTTGACAGTCTTTTATGCTTTTACACTTTTAGCTTTGACCTACTACTAGAATTTGACAGTAAATCTGACAGATATCAAAAGAAAACGTCATGCAACATTTAAACCAATTAATCAATTATGAAATGTATCAATCGGTTAATTTGAATTGGTTGTACAATTGATTGATTTTCGATTATAATCAATTATCGGAACAACACTATCAGAAAGTGTTCACAAAATGTGTGTCAACTTAGTTGTTGCTTTTGAAATTCTCACTGATCTACTTTGCTGTGCAGTGCTACAACAAAAGTGAATAATTATAGTACACTAATCTACAGTACATGTATATGCAGCATTTGATACTGGTCTGATTACAAACCAATGTATAATGCCATCCTGGAACTAGACTTTTTCCATGATGAAAGATGAGGTATTAAAGACACAAAAATGTAATCCATTAACTAGAATTTATGTGAATAAGTCATGTCTTATAAAGCTGATGTATTTAATAATTTTAAAAGCATGTGACCATTAAAAATATATATTCAAATTTTGATAACAAAATCTATTATAAAGAAATGAATCTGTTCATCATTTCATAGCACTGTATAATCATAAGTGAAGGATAATATAGTACTATTTGATGTCCAGATATTTCAGCCTTGTAGTTATACTACCATTAAAAGTCTGATCGTTTTGAAACAGTTGTATAAAGTAAATTTTCGAAAACACTTCAAGGGATATTTTTATATTAAAAAAATGTTTAGTATATCTTGGCTTCAGTTGGGTGTTTTTGGATCCTTTTTATGTCACATTTCAGTTTAGAATTTCAATCTTTTTGAAAATATTCTACATTAAATTTGTGTGAAATTTAAAGTTGTTAATGTAGTCAAACTCTCCACATATTGGTTTCTGGATGTAAAACAAGCCATTTTAACCAATGTCTTCTTTTTCAGGCAAAAGAGGACTTAGTGTTGATGAGCAGAAAGAAAAAAAGAAATTAAAAAGAAAAGAAAGTCTCCTCAAACTAAAGCTGAGAAAAAAATTTGAAAAGCAGAATAAAAACAAAGGGAACCTAGCTGTTCAGAAGGAAACAGTAGTGAATGGAGCAGTAGGAAGTCCAAACTCTAAACCAGTGAAACCCATCTACAATAAGGAGGGTAAACTGGTGTTCAGTAAATTTGACTTCACTGAGGCAGGTGGGAAAGATAGGGGTAAAAGTAATCTGTCGGGCAAAGACTATAAAAGACTGCTTGAAAAATTAGAAAAACGGAAGGAACATGTAGAAAAAGTGAAAGAAAAAGATGCAGAAAAAGGAAAACAAGTAGAGACCAAGATGGCATGGGAAACAGCCATACACAGAGCTCAAGGTCAAAAGGTCAAAGATGATCCTGCTCTTGTTAAGAAAGCCCTGAAAAAGAAAGAAAAAATAAAGAAGCAAAAATCGAAACAGTGGTCTCAGCGAGACTCACAGACAAAAAAGAGGATGGAAACTAAGATAGAAAAACGTACAAAGAATATTGAGGAGAGAAAACAGCAAAAGAAGGACAAAAAAAATAAAAGAGCTAAGAAAAAGGGTCGACTTATAGCAGGATTCTGATGTCATCTGCTTGTTCAGTGAATTCTAACAGAACAGTTTTTTTTTTTAATCATAGGCCTGTTTAAAAAGAACATTTAGACCAATATAGAACAATGAACTCCATTGTGTTACTGGGTTCTAGTACAGAGGTGTTGACCTTTCATTGTTAATTTATCTGTCAAATTTTCAGGTGCTACATAGCTACATTTCTCTAGATGTTTTTAAGAAATGAAAACAACGTTTTTTATGATATAGTTGATGACATTTACCTTAAATTGTAAAGTGTTGGGGGAAAAAAATGTGCTGAGATGAATAAATGTATAAGAATCAGTTTTTACATGTACATGTAATCTGGTTGTGTTCTGCTTTTACTGTTTGTCTTTATAATTGAAATATTGGCAGTGAGAACATTCCTTTTTGTATTGACCTGTTAATGATGCAGAGTATTAAGTTTAAGGGGAAAAGGTTATATGTTTTCTTTGAGAGATGAATGGAAATTGTATTCTGGCCTGTGTGATCCGGAATATATGCCATGGATGCTTGTCTTCCATCATTTATGAATGTCAGATTTACTTTCCCCAATTCAAGTATCTCTAAATCAAGCCATTCTAAAATCTACAAGCTTTGACAGGGAATTGAAGTGACTGGAAAACATATTTTCAACTGGATTATTTTAGAATGTTAATTAATATAGGGATGTTTCGGAGCCCGGGCCTCTGTGATTTGTTTCTGTTCTGCTGGTACAGTAAAACTGTACAGCTGTGTTGATGTTGTAATTACAGCATGGTTGATATCAACACTTTCTGCATTGTTGTAACTGGTTACATACGACAAAACGTCTATAAATCAAACTTTGAAGATATTTTTTCCCTTTTAATAAAAACAATAATAATCAATTCATAAATGATTTTTTTCTGTTTAGAAGTATGATTAAGGTTTAATGATTGATTGATATAGGCCTAGTTTGTTATCTTATCCATTTATATATGTTAATATATATATATATAATAAAATTTGTTAAAACAAAAATGATTAAGGTCCTTTCGTGATGAAAACATTGAAAATTACATTAAATAAACGTCAAATTTGATTAAATCTCCATGCAAACTACAGTCAGTGTATAAATAAACATGCTATTCTCATTACTGCAAATCTAATAAATATAATTTTTAATTAAATTTCTTAGCCACTATTTCATCTTTCAGGAATCCCATTTGGTCTTGTGTTCAATAATGTTTAGCATTTGTGAGTTGAAGTCCTGGCATTTCAAATGATTCCTGATCATGGTCCCGCAAAGTTGGAAACATCAAAGTTTGACTGTATATTCTACTGATGTTGACTTTCATGCTTCACTGCCTGAAAATAAATATGTAACATGAGCCTCATGTTTTTGTCATAATTCAGATAGTTTGTTACAGTTGATGATAATTTATGTGCTGCACAAAATATGAATTATTCAATTCGCTGAAGGTAAATACAACTGAAAGATCAGTATAATTAAATCTATACAGTATTTAGAAGTGATTTTGTCAGTCTTCTGATATAGGTACAATGTGTGGTAATACTTTATATATGGAGATACGAAAGAGAAATTCTACACTTGATATTAGAATTTTTATATCCCCTATATGTAGGTGCAATGTCATGATTCACTCTTCCACCTCTTACCATGGATTACGGATAGAAAAGTCATCAGTCACAGGGACCCAGGAAATAAGTTTGGACGTTGCCCAAAATTTTAACCTCAGAAAAAGAGATTTTTGCACTTATCAGTATCTAGAACTAATAAATTAGAATTGTCCTGTCGGTTTTACATGTTCTGCTTTCTGCAACAAAAAAATATATAGAATTTATTTTTATCTGAAGGTGTAATACTTAACTATTTCAAGTACTGCCAAGCATAGAAAGCAAGAATTTATCGGACATTATTTAAGCTCGCCTTGACAGATTTTGATGAAAGTTTATGCATAGTAGCTACTTCATTTCCTGAAGTTTATGCACAGAATACCCGGGACATCGTTTTTGTGTGTCAGGGTTCCAAGGTATAGTGCCCTATATAATTTGTAAAATTACTCTAAAGCACTTTACAACATATGGATAATAGTAATGGTTATAATTGTGAAAACAAAAAACAAAGGCTTATAATCAAGACCAACATATTTCATGGTATCGAGATCAAATTGGTATAACTATTTATAGAACATCAAACACTGAAACTTCCTTCACATGGCAGTCAGGGCATTCATGTCTTACAGACATTTTCTAGTTTTAATTGAAACCGTGCCTAAGATACTATGCTCCTTAAACCAATGTTATAATGACATGACCTTGCTTAACTTTTGGTACACAAAACAACAATTTCTCATGATGATCCTGCATATAGTTCAATCATACAGTAAGACAGTGGTAGAGATATGCTCCAGGAAACTAGGTTGACTTCAGGTCAAATGAGGTTGTAATGACCTTTCGGTGAAGGACTATATAAGCATCTTTGTTTTATGCATACCACATATGCATGACATCCATACATGAAATAGTGGCCAATTTGTACTCTATTAACTTAAGGGACTCGTATCACACAAGACAAATATTCTTCAGACTGTGTCAATGTGGTGGATTAAAGAAGTGTAGTAATTTGGAATTTATTTGCGCGATTGTTGATTATTCACTAACTAGTACTATAGGAAATATCTGTAAGTGGAGATTCTGTGAGCTACATGAAAATCTCGTACCTCAATCTTTGCATTACAGAATATCCTGTAGATTGTTTTCTAGTGTTTTACAAACAAGAGGCACAAGAGGGCCTGTATCGCTTACCTGAATATTAAAGCAGTCATAGCAAAATATTCTCATAAAATATCATATTGCACTAAAAATATTTCCCTCGCAAACTTTGTTGGCTCCATATGTTGAAACTACCAGCAAAATATTATTATAAGATTCTATGCTTTTTGATTCTTCCTCAGAAGTTGCTTGACATATTTTTCCCTGTGACCTTGTAAGTAGGTCAATGTCATTTTTATTCTCAAATTGGTTAGCTCAATTCCAAAATGCTACCAGCCAAATCTTATGAATCCATTCCTTTTGGTTCTTGAGAACAAATCCTTTAAAATGTTGTAGACCTCTGTGACCTCTAAAGTAGGTTGAGGTCATTTTCATTCGCAAACTTTGGTGAGCTCTATCCCAGGAAGTCACCAGCCAAATATTATAATTTTATGAATTTTAAGTAGTTTGAACCGTTTGACATATATGAACACTGTGACCTTGAAAGTGAGTCAAGGTCATTTTCATTCGCAAACTTTGTTTGGCTCTTTCCCAGGAAATCACCAGCCAAATATTAAGGTTCTATACCTTCCAGTTCTTCGGAAGAAGTTGTTCCAAGCATTAGACATATCTGCCTCATGTGACCTTAAAAGAAGGTCAAGGTCATTTTCATTCGCAAACTTTGTTAGGCTTCTTCTCAGGAAATTACCAGCCAAATATTAAGGTTCTAATACTTTCAGTTTTTCAGAAGAAGTCGTTTGAAGCATTTGACATATTTGACTCTTGTGACCTTGAAAGTAGGTCAAACTAATTTTCATTCTCAAACTTTGTTGGGCTCTATCTAGGAAGCCACCAGCCAAATATAAAGATTCTATACCTTTAAGTTCTTCAGAAGAAGTAGTTTGAAGTTTTTGACATATTTGACCCCTGTAACCTTGAAAGTAGGTCAAGGTCATTTTCATTCTCAAACTTTGTTGGGCTCCATCAGCCAAATATGAAGATTTTATACCTTTTAGTTCTTCAGAAGATGTCATTTGAAGTTTTTGACATATTTGACCCCTGTGACCTTGAAAGTAGTTCAAGGTCATTTTCGTTCTCAAACTTTGTCGGGCTTCAACCAACAAAGCTTTCAGTTAAATATCATGACTCTAGGCCTCTCCGTTCATCAGAAGAAGTTGTTTAAAGGAAAAATTGACGGACGAGGACGGACGGACGCCGCACCATGACATAAGCTCACTTGCCTTTCGGGCAGGTGAGCTAAAAATAAAGACCAAGTTTGGATATTCCCTGCTGGGAACGTGTGCAAGAGTTATGTGGCCATTACAACAACGGACACAACTAATGCTTTGTAAGCTTAATAAATGTCCCCTAAAGCTGAATTTCCAAGTTCCTGGAACCTAATTACAGCAAATACGGTAAGTAATAAAGTTAACAACAAAACAATGTGTGGCACAAAATTATATTTATATCATGATCTTTTTTAAAACAAAAACAACATAACAATGATGTTTGATATATATTTGGAAAGGTAGATTATCAACAAGCGATAAGTACACAGAAGTCACAAGACCAAGTACAAATATTGCTAACATTGAAGGGAACACCAGCTAGACCACAATATCTAATATTAATGTCTGTTTAAATACAATGTTCAAATATTACTGAGTGTCGAGTTTGTTTCGATCTGTTCCTTATGGTAAAGCTCTTAAATATATTTTAATAAACCAGTGAAGACATTGATAATTCACACACCTAAAATTGATAAGCAAGACATATTTTGCATTTAAAAGTGATTTATCAAGATACTTGTATACACGTACACGAACATATACATGTATATCACATGTATGCTGACCACCAAATATGATCTATTGATTTTTGAGCCATTTATCTCGCATCCAAGTGTAAATCAGGCACACCTCATTCCTTTACACCGTATATGAGGGTTTTGCATCATGACTGCTTATAAAGTGACTACACCAAACTTCAATCATCAGCTGTATCCATGGAATCTTCTGGTACTGAAACAGGTGTAGTTGATGATTTCTCTTTCCTTCCTTTCTGTTTCTTTTCGCTTATTGGATTCATTTCAACTGAAAAAGTTATGGAAAAAAATGGTGAAATAGTTCATATACCTTTCTATAAAGGGATTTAACTGATGTTAAGTTTTAACATTTAAAGCTAGATTTATATAATGATGGTGTCCAAGGCCAACTTGACACATTAGCATCTCACCCACATGCATTTTTATCACAATTTAAAATACATGTATGTCTGCAAGTACACATCTCTGAAATGAAAAGGTAGACTGTAACCAGCAAGAAGCAGAAAGGCTTAAAGATAAAGGTCTCAGCCCAGGTGTTGTTGTTAGGTCAGCAGACCATTCCGGACAGAACCTTGTCCTAAAAATACACACACAGGGGTGTTTAATGTTTTTGATGATATCCGAGTATTGAATACATTGAAAAAATAATAATATACAGATCTAGATAGCAAAACAAGGATTACAAATAAGATACAGTACCACAAAAATTTCAATTATGTATTTACATTGCGGTTTAATTGTTCTTATTTTCAGGAAAATAACATTTGATATATTTCAATTCATGGATATTTTGTGACGATACAACTTAATTGTTTCCATACATATTGGATACCAAAAAGACTGGTCTAGGGAGATGCTCTTCAATGTATTTCAAAAACTGACAAAAAATCAAAAGGGAGTCAATATTTATTTCATCAAGGAAAACAAAGGTGACAGTTAATAATTACCATCTTGTGATTCAGTTGTTTTCTTGGCAAGATGCTTCAGTCTTTTTGTCACTCTTCGTTTCCTTTTTCCTGTCACCTTTGAGGCACAGGTAGTGTGTATACTGTTGAAACAGAATGTAGAAATGTCATTGCTAAAATGTTCAAAGGTCCTGGGATTTGTTTATACCTGACCTCTCTCTCTATATATATCAATCGTCAATGAACAATCAAAATATCTTTTCTATTTGAGAGTATTAACCATTGTATATATGTATAAGATATAGCAACCTATGTAAACATAGACCTTAAATACGTAAACAGTTTTTTAAGTTTCTTCCCTTGGCAATGTGTTTATCTTTCATTTTGATACTGAACATTAACAATTCTTGGATAGCAACATTGATAAAGTGAAAGGTCAGTGGTAGATAGGTCAGAAGTTTAAGCTCAAAATAAATTTACCTTTTTAAGTACTTTTTCAGAATTAATCAACTTTTAAGCCATTAATTTTGCAAAATGCATCATAAGATGTATTCATATGGAATAGTAGGAATACATTTGAAGAAAATCACTTTATGGTGCTTTTTACATTAATGTGAGTAAGTGGTTCTATTGTTTCAATTAAACTGAATCAGGTTACATTAATGAGGTGATAACTTCAACTGATTACGAGGAAGCATGTTCAACAAAATTTATAGAGAATTTGAGTGTACATGATCAGTGTTGGTCCTATAAACTTAAATAAATAGTGAAGTGAACTTTACTCTCATTCATTTCAATATCTTATGATAGGCTTTATCTTCAGTGTAATATTCACTAACACTTCATGGTTCTATGTTTTATATCAATCATCACAACAGGGATCTTTGGCAATGTGTATATATATATGGGTCTGTAGATCTAGATACAACCTTGTTACTCACAGAATATTTTTTACTTGTTCTTTAGTTAACATTTCAACATTGTCTATCCTTGCCAGCTTCTTCTGTAGGTTTTTCTTTTTTTCTGCTGTTTTAACCTTCTGTCTCTTCCGTCTCTTTTTCTCCTAAGATGAGAAAAAATGTTGAAGTAATGTTTCAAGTGATATGACAGAAAGATATCAGTACTCCAATCATTGCAAGATCTCCATCAGTTCTATATGATCTATGATGATATTTTTTGTTCTTTTCGTTTTCTTATCTGTTGGATCAATAGTCATGTCAACAGTACATTATGTATTTACATGTAGCTGCAATAACGTACAATGTAGCTTCCGACAACGAGACTTTTTTAGGGCAGAGGAGGCCGGATATTAATATAAGTACAGTTGTGGGATCGCACAACGTTACACAATGTGCGATGTGCACATGGTGTGTGAATGATGTGTGCACGAAGTGCGAATGATAAAAAATTGGATGATCATTGCTTGCGCACATTTGTATAAATTGAGGAATGCCTTAACAATAAATACGGTTTTGTGCATACATGTGTTTAAACACATAAACTTGATTATTAAGTTTGTTCTATATTTTAGCTACATCTATAAGCTTATCTTTCTCTCTATACGTTCTTAAATTTAGAAGTGATGTTCTCAGTGATTTTTAAACAACCTAAATCGACACATGTAAAATTACAACACAGTCTCGGCAATACAGGTAAACATAGACACTTTATACCTGTACCTGTACCGTAGTTATCCCCCGCCTGGGGCACTTACGTAAGTTGCCAACGGGAAGGTGTGAAAACCAGAGGTAAAGGGGAACTATACTAATAGACCAAACGAATGCAAATAGAAAATACTAAACATCCAGTTGTGTTTCCATAACGGTCATATGATATCACATATCAGCTCTATTTGTCAGGCACAGGCCAGGTAAAACTGGTCACTCATCAAATTGTTATTTACTTGTTCTGTTACCAAGGGGCTAGACCCATTCTTGACAGTCTAACGGTCACTGTAACACATTGTAAAATTGTACATAATCTTAATTATTGTGATGAGAAATTACAGTAATATAAACAGTGTACATTATTGCATACAAGCCTTCCGTATTTATTTCATTCTGTAATATTGATCAACAAATTGTACCAAATCGCATAGCTGTGCGGAGAAAAGCGCACAACGGGGCAAACGATTGTTAAATCGCACAATTGTGCGCACCATGTGTGAACGATGTATGCACAGTGTGCGCACAGTATTTTTGGTGCGTTGTTCGGTCACACAACTGTACTGGTATGTATTATGTGGTAACTTTTAATCAAATTGTCACTCTCCATTGTTTGACAAATTGGTCTGTAAAAGAGTCAGTTTCTGTTGACTTGAATATAGAAATTGTAAAAATATGACATTTCCCATTTACAAGTCCATTTAAATTTCTTAGATCATGATAAAATTTTCAATGAAATCAACACTAAAAGGCAGATTATTATGATCCCTCGTCGTGCAAGAGATTATCCAAAACATGATCAATACATATCAGCTGCCTTATACCCGGGTAATCTGAACCACAAGCATCGGACCTGTCCGATGGATGGCTCGCCATCTCCACATGATTTATAGGGTGTGTTTGCATACAATTAGTTGTTCAAGTGTTTACGTTATGGCACGTGTCGTGTTGAAGGCCATATCACTTAAACAACTGTTTCTTCTATCCCTATGGGCACCTACAGGTGTATACCTACCAATATCTTGTACATGATAAACCCAGTATAATTTTACATGACTACTGATCACAAATATTTGGTTCAACCCTACATCGTCACCATCTATAAATATTATTTTTCAAAGAGGACCCGTTCATTATAAGAATTTACAGAATATTTAGTGATTGATTGCCTCACTTTACTCGAGCTTCCCATCTTCAAAGAAATAAAACTGCAATGTTGTATTGTTTACAGTGCCTTCAAAACCACATGGTAGGAAGGACAGGATATGCTAGCCGGAACGTTAATAAAACAACCGTATAGTAAATGTTCCGGAATTATTTAATTTTGTAGCAATAGGTTTCAACTAATGACACTTTTTTTACAGTAGAAATATCAATTGAAAATTACTTTATTTTCCACTTACATGTTATATAATTAAAAGAATCGAACAACGTGTTCTAATGGCACACTTTTTATTTTATCGGGAATCGAATGCACCCAGAATGAAAAAAATCACCGTCTTTGGAAAGCTTGACGGACTACTGCACATGTGACCATCATCGGTAAGATTGATCACTATTCATAAAATGACGGTCTTGTTTACACTGTTCAGAATCCAGCACCAAAGGCAATCATTAAAATAACATGAAACATACATTCCCGGTAGCTTGAAAAGCCACGAAAACATCTGACATCTACCAGGTCCAGTATATTGACCTATACATGTAGCCATCTGAACTGCTGAAATAGGTTTTTGAGCTATTTTCATGTGATTTTCTTGTTTAAGGAAAGCGAAACAAAGTCGTTTTAAAAAGAAGAATTTATCATTAGGTTGATAACAAAAGACATTAAATATAAGTATTCTTTCTAAAAACAAATGATGTAAAAAATCGGAAATTTTACATTTATGAAAAATGAAAATAAACATATAAATGCATGCTTTTTGTAGTCAACATTACCATCAACCTTATTGTTTTATGTGACTTTGCTTTAATTTAATGAAAATTAAAATCTGGGAAAATAAAGCTCAATACAGCTATAATTTATAGGTGAATATATCTATATAGGGCTCAATCGGCAGAGTGTACTGGATCACTGACATGGGTTTGCTCATATTGTTTGAACAAAAGGTCATGGACACACTAATACAGATATACTATACCCGTGGCTTGAATGGTAACTGACTAAATCAGGGAACCCTTCAGGATTGAAGACGAATCCTGAAGTGTGATAGCATGGGTTTAATTAGTCCAACAATGTTAGAGGTTTTACACAGCGAAAAACTTTTGACAGGCGTCGCAGTCAGAAAAATCATATCCGATAGAAAAAAGGCCAACCAGCGGCCTCTCATGTTATGGGAATAAGGTTTAATTTGTGTATGTTTGTTAATTACAAATATACGTGTATAACATATTTACAGTCTGCAGTTCAGACTCCCAACATGTCCCTTCATTTCCCTTTCCTGTTTATACAAAGTTAGTTAACAGTTAAAGTATGGGTATGAGGGATATAGCAAGTTTATGATCCCGCGAGGCCAGGACTATTTCCCGAGGCGAAGCCGAGGGAAATAGTCCTGGACGAGGGGGATCATTAACTTAATTGCTATATCCCGAAATACCCATACTCAACTGTTTTATTATACCGATACAAACACTCCCTTACAATATTCTAAATATTACTAGACAACAAATTTTTCAACAGTTGGGACACTTTATTAACAAAACTACAACAATGCGAGATGAAGGTCGGTCCAGAAAATACCGGCTCTGCTGGCTGGAAATTGCCGGAAATTGCCGACGTAATTTGATTGCGCTGATTGGTCAATATTCAGTCAGGCCCCGCCCACGACGTCACTCAATTTCCCGCATTTTCAGAGGGAAATAGTTTCAAAACTATTGCACCCCTTCAGACGAACCATTTCCCTGGCATGCAGTTAGAGGGGAAATAGCTTGTTTATGTGGTTACTTTTGTATAGTGTAAAATAAGTAGAGGTATAATAATTACATTTCTAGTATGAGTAGTGTAGCTTTTTTTATAATTTTATAAAGAGCTACACATAAAAGTAGGCTTCTATCAAAGTGGAACAGTGTCTAATTTTTCGCACCAGCAAATGTTAAAATTGTTAAATATTGTTCTCTCCGGGTGTTACCTCCCTTGAAATAATAAAATGACGAGCAAAATTGTCAAGGACATGATTGATCAGTTTGCAAAGAAAGGGTAGGCAATCAACAACTCTGTAAAAAGAGGAACAATATTCTGTGGATATACTGTACAATCAGTCCCATAAAACTTAATAACAAAAAAACAGAAACAACCTAAAAGAAACTTCAAACACTTGTAATAAGTTACATTTGTAACCAACCTTAGGATAAAGTTCCTTTTTTTGATGCAACCTAATATTTATTATTCCTTTTTCCAGCTTTTGGATATAGGTGTGTATTAGCTGTTCATACACTAGTACTGTAACTAGTTATATTACAAATGTAGCTCTGGAGGAGATTGTTCAGTAGCTGATAAAGCTATTTCAATCAACTACATAAATAAAATCTGTCACCTGTAATTGGTGTGGAGTGGGAAAAATTTCACAAACTTTGGGCAATACATGTACCTGATATATCTTATTATCTATAACAAAACTATACAGTAAATTGGTTTTGACGCCAAAAATGTTCTCCAGAAGGATTGGATTTCTATATCACACACTTAATTCTTCTTCTGCCAATTTTGAGGCTTAATTAACTACTGAATAACAGTGCTTGTAAAATTCGAGCCGTCATTGCAATATTTTCATTAATAAAATCCTAAACAATTTTCTTAATTATCTACAAACAATATGTTTTGGTTTTCAGTGTGATATGTGACTTTTCTTGCCTGATATGACCTGTAGGATAACACAAGATCTGATAAATTCACTTACCTGTACAGAATGGCTGGTATGAATCTCCTACCAAGGAACCACAGTGAATTCCACTCGCCTCAATATTGGGATCAGTTTTTCCAGAAAAGAGGAACTAAAGCCTTTGAATGGTTTGTCAGATTAAACTTATACATACAGATTGATAAAGCACATACAATAAGGGGAGATAATTACACCCTCAATTAGACTGAAATCTCAACAGTCACCATTATTGACAATAAAGTGAGATCTTGATTCCTCTATTATTAGATAATAGTTTCAGCAGTTACCAATGTTGTGATATACAATGATACTTGCAGACTTGGGTAAGCATTGATTTTGCCAGAATAGATATGATCTGAATCTCACATTAAAACTACTCAAGAATGCTAAGACATTTTTTTAATCAAACAGTATAACTTTAAAAATAACAGGAAACAACAAGATCAGTTAAAACAATTTTGAATTACTGTATTCAATCTATTGATCGTGAATTTTATTAGTCTCACATGATACATGTCTAAAATACATTGATGGTTTGTTGTAGGTACGGCGAGTACCCAGAATTATGTGGGATTCTACACAAATACATCAAGCCCAAAGATAAGCTCCTTATGATTGGATGTGGTAACTCCCAGCTTAGTGAAAATCTCTATGATGTCGGCTACCACAACATCATCAACATTGACATAAGTGACACAGTCATTCGTCAGATGACCGATAAAAATAAGAAATGTCGTCCTGATATGAAGTTTGTCAAAATGGATGTCAAGAAGGTAAATCGAGGGGAATTTGAGTGATTATTAATACTAGTAGAGACTTATATTTAGAAATGTCCCAATATTTAACAGTGATAGAAGATAATTTCTAAACAGCTTTTATGATATTTAACACACTGTATAGATCTCTTAACTGCCTTTAAATGCCAGCTTTATAATTGATTGCCAACATAGACATCTCTGTAGGATGATATTGATCCTGCAATGTTTAATTTTTCAAGTGAAATACTTTTGCATAATTTCAATAATTATAATCATTCAGTCTCTAAATTAGTATGTATTGATCATCAGAGGAACCTCATTTCTTGAACTCTTTAGAATATACTGATCCAGCTGTAGAGTGTAGAACAATCTCATTACCCTCAATTCTTCTCTGTGTTTGCTTTCCTTTTCAAGATGTTTATTTGCAGGATATTAGTGAAAATTCTATTAACTGCCAAATTCTATTTCACTGATCTAGAAACACTCCTTATTTCATAGTCTGTTTTCCAAATGGAATTTCTTGGATAAGCAGGATTCCACTCTTACATGTGCAAAAAAGACTACAGATGTTTTATTTTAAATTTCACTCTCACTATGAAACAAATTAATGGTATATCCTATATTGATTATATGGTGTTTCTTTAGACAGATTTTTTGGATGGCGAGTTTGGAGTTGTCCTGGACAAAGGAACCTTGGATGCCCTGATGGTGGATGACAGTGCTGATGTGGTGGCTGATATTGATGCCATGTTTACAGAAATCGGGAGGGTCCTGAAACAGGGAGGGAGATACATCTGTATCTCTCTGCTACAGGACCACATCATGAACAAAGTCCTTCAATTCTTCCCAGACCTGTTAGTCTAAAGAAATCCTAGTTCTAACGATTGCATGAACAATGAAAACAGCTTTATTAGAGTAGAGATACTTTGTCTCTAAAAAGCTATATCTACTGTAACTTGAGTTTTAGCATCAATATGAAAAATCATTCCTATTTTTTTCATGTGCTTTTTTTTATTCATGCTGAGGTTCAAAAACTGCTTCTTAACATGCTGTAATTATTTTCACCTGAAAAACAGTGCAATGCCAGTAATCCTCAGTGTAGTTGAAGGAAAATGCAAAATTATGTACGCTTATATTTTCACAAACATTCAAGTATTTGGTTTTGTAGATCGGGATAAAATACTATATGAATTTTTTGTTCTAGTGGATGGCCATTAAGGATTCACAAGGTTAACACTGAAGACTCCGAGAATAAAGACAAGGAATTCAACATGCCTGTATTTGCTGTTGTCCTTACTAAATTCAAGAAGCTACCAAATATGAAACAGGTTATAAGAATATAGCAATTTTAATGCATTTTTGTCTTGATTTACTTTACTACATAGTAAACTATGTATTATTACACTGACTGAATATTAGTAAACTCTCGTTAAGGATCCCTGTCCCACTGCAGACAAAACTCTAGAAAATTCCAGAGTACTTTTTCATAAATACAGTAACCTCCCCTTAACTGTATACTGTAGTGGGCTGATCAGCTAAGTGATTTCTATTGACCCTGTATCTGTGTAGCACAGTTGGTTATTAGAGTGACTCTATTGTGATAGTTATGGTTCTATTTTCATATATATTTTTTTCTTCATTAATGATATATTAAAGCTATTTCCAGCCTGATGTAAAAGTTTCAAATTCATCGATACAGCTTTTGGGCAGTGTTATGGTGGTCCTGAATATAATGGACGTATATCATGATCAGTGAACAACAACGTTATTTGTCAATGGATAGAAAGTTAAAGTCAGAAAGTGAATGCCAATGGTCATTGTTCGTATAAACTTAAAAATTTAGACATAACTAAGTATTCACTATTGGCAGTAGTATTCTAATTCAGCATAAACAGGGGGCCATGGTGGCCAAGTGGTGAAGACGTCTGGCCGTCTACTATCACTAGCCCTCCTACATTGGGCAGGTACTGGCCGCAGGTTAGCAGTTTTTCTCCAGCTTTCCTCCACTTCCAAAACCTGTACGTCCTTATTTAAATTATAATAGCTATTAATAGGTCATAAAACACAAACAGATAGATAAAATCAACATAAAACAAAATGCTTTCAGATCCTGGAGGTGGGAGCAAGTGATGATAAGGTGGAGCGGATGGAGTCCACAGAGAAGATGCAAACAGTCTTGAAAGAGATGCAGTACTATGCTTTAATGAGGCAACAGATCAAGAAAAGGTATGTACACTGTATGCACCTGAAAATAGCAAAGGAAACACATATCAATTCTCTACTGACCATGTATAGACATGCTGTTTCTGTTCATGATGTGTTAAAATATGTATGCAACTATTGTGAATAAGGTTCTTCATCTACTCTCTGTCCCTTAGGGCTTTAAATGTCTGTGTCTGTGAGGATGGGAGTTTAGTTAAAACACCATATTGCTGCTAGAATTGTTTCATATACACCCATATGTCCATTTGAAAGAGTATTTCCAAACCAAACAAGATCTTGTGACAAAATAATTGGAAGAGTATTATATTATTTTATTGATAGAAACAACGGCAATTTCAGTTTCAGGATTGTTTTTTGAAGGGATATTCCATAGTTGATTGCACCGGGGAAGGAACCTATATTATGGTTAAAACCAGATTTGCCTACCATTCCTTATACTAATTATGAAATAAAAATTAAAGATTTTATAGCTAGTGGGGTCTCTGAAAAAGTTCCCCATCCCTCCCTTATGGTTAAATATGGAACAGCCCTAACAGTATATTGGTTACACTATTCTGTGCTTTATAGGGAGATGGTTGGAGAACAGGTGTCTCTCAGTCTGTACAGTGAAGTGTCCCTTGCCCCACGCTACACCCTATTCATAGTGGACAGTGCTGACCAGAAACTCGCCAACAAATTCGGAATATTCATTGTACCGGAGGGCAGGTGAGATTTAATAGTCATTTCAATTGGTTTGAATATCAATGCAATGTTTTTTGTTCCTCTTTTTTCAGGCGCTGTGGCTAAATGGCCTCTTCAATGGTTTGATTTTTTGTCTGATACCTGTTTGATTCTTTATAGATTGATACACATTGATACATTTCAAACGAACAAGAAAATACTTTTAAATGAAATAAATGTTACTGATGTAGGTGTCAAAGAAAATAATATTAATATTGACAGAGAAACAGAGTGGATGTTTAGTACAGAAGAGGGCAGACAGCAGCTTTCTGAGTCGGCTGGATTTTGTAGACTAGTGGTGATTACTCTCAACCGAGCTCACACTTATGAAACATTGGATACTATCAAATCAGAGTTATCTCCTCATGTCCTAGAACTGGCACCACCAAATTTCAAATCAGGATCACAGGTATGCTTGATAACTAAGATTTATTTTAGATGTAATCACACATCAGACTTCGTTCTATTACACGCCTGATAAAAATCAGGACCTAAATTTTAAATATTCATGAATTGTTTCCACAAAAAAGCAATAAACCCATTGCCCCAGCTGTAAGAATAAAGTTTCATAAACCATGAGAGTCATAAGGAAACATTTGCATCTACATGACTCCTTTTTGTAATGGACGGCTTTAATTTTTCGCTTCACCATGCACCGTTTACATCTCACAGAAGTTAATTACATGATATACTATAACAGATCTTTATGCAAAATATTCTTTTTTTTCTGTTTTTCCATTGGACTTAGGTGCCTTACCTATCACTAGGCGATCAGAAGGGCAGCAGGACTGTCAGGTACCAAGGCAAAAGTCCTACCCTCGGGGAGCTGGTTGTCGAGGATGTTGTCACTGATCCAGGGCAACACAGAAGGAGACTTGTGTTTACGGACAGTCTTCCGTATTGTGAGGCAAGACTTAAACCAGGTACTTTTAAAATGGTTTGCAGTGAACCATTTAAGGTCATTCAGCTAATTGAGTTATTGATAAACTTTCATATACAAATGTAATTATATTTGGTTATTGAAACTGTGTGTATTGTGTTAGACAATAGGTTCATGCTTCCCTCACTGATTATCTCACATACAATTTAAATGCAGTTGGAGTGATAACATTGGTCAATAAGCTATTCTCTTACCCTGGACAGGTGTATACACACTTTTACCGGTGTGAGATTTCCTCGTCTCACCCTAGGGTTGAGATGGCAGGGATTCCCCTATTCATAACAATGGTATGACTGAATTTAGCCTGTAATTTTTAACATTACATCTTGTATCTGATACACAATTGGGTGAAAATGGGGGAATCTCAACCCTCTGGGAAAAATTCTTAAGTTGCCAAACTCTTCACTCTCGGGTTGAGATTCCCGTACCCCAAGGGAGTGAGAGATTCTATTCCTCTCAAGCGGGATGCTTTTTCTTAAAAATTGTATGCTGAACTAACAGCTTCAGTGTTACAAAAGAAAATAACATGATGTTGAAATCCAACAAAAAAAGAAACAGGAAACAGTTCTGATATATATATACATGTAGCAGACAATCTATCTAAGTGCTTGCAATTAGTTAAAATGTTGAGAAACATCCATAGAAACTGTAGGGAAACGGATAGGGGATCTTCTGAACTATTTCGATGGAAAAGAAATTGCTGTGTCATATTATTTTGTTATGTTTCATTTCAGAAAAAAAGCAGAAAAAAGGGAAAAATAAAGCAAAAGAGACTGGAAAATTCCTTTTGGACAAGAATTATTTGGACTGCGATTACCTAACAGCTATGGTGGCTGGTCTATCATTTGTCACGGGAACGACTGATCAGGCCAAAGGTAAGATATCGGTATAATGTAGGCACCTTTTGATTTATAACTAGATTGACAACCAGGCTAAATGTGGGCTTCCTAGTATTTTTGAATGAGATTATGTTATTAATGTGATTTTTGTCTTTGTTTGGACTTAAATATCTCAATATCTAAATTTAACTTACACTTAAAACAAAGAATTCCAATGGCTGTAAGGTTTGGTATTTTATTTGTCATAGATGGAGGAGTATTTTGAATGCCTATAAAGAGGTTTGTAACTTCACAAGCAAACACATATTTGTTATCAATAACAGAGTTGTTGTACATGTGAGTGTTTCATTCCCATGATATTGTAAGAAATACTTTACCCTTATTTGCAATTGTTCATAGTACATACGATTCATTAAGCCTTTATTTAATATTGAGAACATTTTTTTAAGAAAAAAACCTGCTTTTAAGAAAAAAAACTGCTTTTTATTTTTTCTTCAAAATTAGTGCTACCTTTGTACATTAAACCTTGTTATATTGCCACCGTTTAAGTATCAACAAAACTTGTGGCCTTGTGGCATTTGGCAGTAACATAATTGGGGTTGTTAAGAGAAAAATCAGAATCTTGAAAGATGCTGGTGGTAGATGAGTTGACTGTTGAAACAAGTGTTGATTTATATCAAGCTTATGTTTTGTGTTGTGTCAGTATAAATTGGTGTTTTGAGAAATGTGTTTTGTGATGTTTGTTTAATTTTTGTTTTGAAATAATCTAATGAAGATTTTCTTTTGTTGAAGTTATTTTTTGTTCTTTCAGAGTGTTATCTGTCAGATTCTAAAGTGTTGGTGATAGAGGGGAGGAATGGAGGCCTTCCTACATTCTTGCATCACAACTTCCCCCAGGTATAGTATAGCCTATACTGAAACAAACAAACAAAACCCAGTGATATCTGGGTACTCATTCAGTGGCTTCCTGTCGGGCTAAAGTCTTGCTACTGAGAACCTTAAAACCTCTGATTAGTTATTATTTCATATATAACATGCTTTTATATTGGTTGATTTGGCTTATATCCCCTCCTGGTATGGGAAAAAGAATGGGCCTTTGGTATCCTACTGCATCTTGATATCTGAAGCATAAAGTCTTGGGCTTCAAAAAAATCTAGGATAGTTCTACTTCATCTGCTTATAAGACAGTCAAGAAATCATAAGTGTCATATTGTCCATGATATATCTCATATACTGTGTGATCTAATTGTCAAATTATAAAAGTGTGTGTACCTCATGGGATGGCAGTCTGTCACCCACCGAAATTGGGTAAGGTATCCCACTATTTGCAGGATCAGGGCCCTTTATTTATTGTTCATCACACTAGGTGGGGTAGATCTCATCTGTCATCTCCAATTACATTGTACCTCATTTTCATTGCCATTACCTCAGTGTATGATGGAGTGTTGCCACTGTTATCAGAGTTATGTCCCTTCGTTCACTGTTCACCACTTTGTCACCTACATATATATATTAAATTTCTTGCGTATAGAGATAGCAGATTGAAACTCACTATATATGCATAATTATGACCCTTTGTTCATTTATGATACCAAAGTTTGTTGGGAGGTAGGGGACTATGAATTGCTGATAACAGTTTGGCTAGTTTGTAATTCTATGATGTAGTTGTAGTGACTTGGTGATCTATTATGTCATGTCTGGATGTTCATGGTTACCGTGTTCTGCTGTATTATGCTGGGGACCGATTATTTGGTGTATTATATTGGTTGTGATTTACTGGTGTATTGATATTGGTTGTGATTTACTGGTGTGTCAATGTTTGGTGGTCATAGTTATTATATGTTGTATCATGGAAATTGATGGTTGTAATTAATCGGTGTATGGTTGTTGCCAGTTGTTATTAACTAGTGTGTGGATGTTGATGGTAGTATTTAATGTATGGATGGTTTTGTTTTTATTACAGATGGCACTGACTGTACTGTTTCCTGATACTGTGATGCTACAGGTAGCCACAGACTGGTTCAGCTTTTTACCAGACACCATTATGCAAGGTCATTGTGATAACCCAACCACATTTATCAGCAGCAGCATAACGCAAGGTACAGTATTCTCCTCAGTTCATTATGTTTATTAGTTTTAGTTCCAATTGATCACTCCTATAATGAAGCGTCTGTCGTTCGCCCATTCGTTGTCCGGCGTCCAGCGTCAATATTTTACTTTAAACAACTTCTTCTTAATAACCAAAATGTCCAGGCTATGATATTTGGCCAGTAGCATGCTGGGATGAAGGGCTACCAAGTTTGTGCAAATGAATGACCTTCACTTATATACAAGGTCACAAGGGTCAGTTGTCTTAAAAAAACTTTAAACAACTTCTGAAGAATAACCAAAATGACCAGTATTGTGATATTTGGTCAGTAGCACACTGGGATGAAGGGCTACAAAGTTTGTTCAAATGAATGACCTTCACCCATATTCAAGGTCACAGGGGTCAAATATGTTAAAAACTTTAAACAACTTCTTCTGAATAACCAAAAGGACCAGTATGGTGATATTTGGTCAGTAGCATGCTGAGATAAAGGGATACCAAGTTTGTTCAAATGAATGACCTTGAATTATATTCAAGGTCTCGAGGGCAATTTTTTTTTAAATCTTTAAACGACTTCTTCTAAATGACCCTGAGGCCCAGAATGTTATATTTAGCCAATAGCATGCTTGGGCTATACAATTTGTTCAACATAATGACCTTGTTTGACTTTCAGGTTCACAGGGGTGAAATGTTTTAAAATGTTTTAACTGGTTCTTTTGAATGACTTTTAATAATAAATACTGATATTTTGCCTGTAGCTCTATTTTAGATCACTTATAAGTTTACATGTGTGAGTGTTTTACCAGGTGAGCGATGTAGGCCTATTGGGCCTCTTGTTTATATGTTCAACTAAAGCAGGATTTAGATCCAAGATCATCTCTCCAAAATTTAAAAAGCGATATCACTAGCCTGGCATTAATTAAAGAAACATTTGCAAATTTTCTCAGTATGTGAGTCTGAATGAAAAGGAATATCATCAAAACCTTGTTAGCTTGAGAATGGAAAATCATCAATGCTTTGTTAGCACGAGAAAGGACTATCATTAATGCCTTGTTAGCTTGAGAAAGGATTATCATCAATGCCTTGTTAGCTTGAGAAAAGAAATATCATCAATGCCTTGTTAGATTGAGAAAGGATTATGATTAATGTCTTGTTAGCTTGAGAAAGGAATATCATCAAGGTCTTATTAGCTTGAGAAAGAAATGACATAAACACTTTATGTGTTTGAGAAAGAAATTTCTATGTCAAATTTTCTTCAGTATATCTTTTTTTCAGAAGTCATCTTGAAAGGAAATCGTCCTTTCTGAAGCAAGATTATAACGGAGGTTTGTCTAACTGTTGGGACTTTAGGAGGAGATCCATTGTTTACTGGCCTGTCTAGATGATAACTGGGTTAATACAACATTCGACTGTTCTTTTTGTAGGTTTACAGGTGGATGCTGTAGTAATTGATCTGGACTACCTCAAGTCCTCACTTACAATGGACAGTTTCCTGCAAGAATCGTTTTTATCAGATGTCAAAAAGCTACTTTCACCAAATGGTATGTGTAAAAAAGTTCTTGGTTTTTCTAGTGAAGCATATTTAAAATGTTTACTGTGTTTTAGAATTCCAGGAAAAGATAATGTGGGACAGTTTGATACTTTACATCATCAATTGTATTTATTTTTGAATGGTCACCATCAAAATTTACCTGCCAGATGGTTTTGGAAATACCTATTTTCAGATAATGATTGTAAGAAGAAAATGTAGCTATTAATCATTAATATGAAATATCAAGATAATTGATATTTTACAGCCAATTTCATTTCAGAGCACTAACCTGATATAAATATCCCTGGTATTTGTCCAGGAGATGGATGGAGGGATTGTTTATTCATGCATGATCATTCTAGTAATTGTTTTAGATTACCCCATCCATATACTGTATTATTGATAAAAAGTTTCTTTCACCTCAGACAGAGATATCTCGCACGTTACCTAGTTCTAGATTTTTCTATCTCGTCTGATTTCGTGGTGATGTATTCATCTGCACGCTAATGCAAGTGATACAGTTTTTAAATTCTGTTTTGTTATAATATGCATTGTTTTGGTGTTTTATAGATATCTAATGGTGTAAATAAAAATATAATCTACACTGAAATGTAATCATTCTTGCAAGGACAGACATTCAAATGAAACTTTAGAAGTGAAGAGGCCATATTCATTTGAGGCCCCGGACAGGATACTTGTAGACCAAAGCAAAATTGAGTATTTTTACGAATTAAAAGGTGCAAGAAAAAGATTCCATTACCTGTAACTGAACGAAATAGGGTTATCTTAGTCTTGGGCTAATATTCTATAACATCCCCACCTTGGCTTACGCCTCTGTTTGGATTTTATGTTACAAAATCCTAGTCCTTGACTGAGGTAACCTGATCTCGCTCAGTTACAAATACATGTAATAGATTTTATTAGTCTACCGGCCCACAATCAAGCAAATACATTTATATCAATATCTAGCATAGTCCTTCACTAAAACTGCAAACCATTTACCTCATCTGTTCAACAGTGAATTAACAATCTCAGCTTAATCTTTTACCATCGTTTCATTGCAGGTGTTGTAGTATGCAAGTGTCAGTGTGATCCAAAGGAGACAAAGAAAACATTGCTTCACAAACTGTCCAGTAGTTTTCCAAACATTTACTCAACAGACATTGAGGACACATCTTACACAGTTGTAATCGCTCTAATGTGTGACAAGAACAATGCAGATACATTAGAGGCAGCGATGTCAAACTGTAAATACCTGAATAATATACTGGGGAGTAAAGACAAAGACATTGATATAGATTTAGTACAGACCATGACAGACGTCACATTGTTTGATCCCTAATTTCGTGGAAGAAGATTACACACATATTAAAAAATGTCTAAAATGTATGTCATGTTTGGTCCTTTTCCATTACCTGCTGGAAGGGTTAAGCCATTTATGTCATTTGATTTATGATCAATAATCTGGATTAACTATCCATACAAAGTGATTTATTGCCAAGAAGATCTTGATTCAGTAGTGTGGAAGTCGTAAACACGATTGACAGCAACAGTTGCCATCCTTGTGTATTTCATCTTATTACTGTTCAACTAGTGTTATGGATATATCACGGTCTTCAGACGAAAAAGAATTAGAAAGTTTGTGTCTGTCTGTCCACAAACTTTGTTCCTGGCTGATACCTATGGTATTTATTGACCGATTTACATGAAACTTGGTCAAGACGTTCAGTTCACAAAAATACATACTGAGGTAAAAAGTCCAGGTCAAAGGTCAAGGTCGTTAGGTTCAAAGGTCCAGGTCAAATTTTGTACCTTTTCACTGATGAACATTTTGTTTTAACACTATGAAGCAATGTTGGTCAGAATTAAACAAGGAGTCAATTGACTAAAGGTCAAGGTCACTGTGTCAAAGGTGAATGTTAATTTTTTTATCTTTTCCCTGATGAACATTTTGTTATGACATTATGAAGCAAATTAAAGTTGGTCAGAATTTAACAAAGAGTCAACTAACTGACTTAAAGGTCAAGGTCACTGGGTCAATGTCAATGTCAAATATTGTATCTTTTCACTGATGAACATTTTTTTTATGTTATTATGAAGCAAAGTTGTTCAGAACTTAACACAGAGTCAACTGACCTAAGGTTACGGGGTCCAAAGGTTTAAGGTCAAGGTCAAGTTTATGATGAACATTTTGTGATGATATTATGAAGCAAAGTTGGTCGGAATTAAAGAATAAGTCAACTGACCAAAGATCAGGGTCACTGGGTTAAAGGTCAAAGTCGTTTGGATCTCTTACTTTGACACCGGCTTTTGATGGAGGAGATATTTAAGGTGAAATAAACAAATCAAATCTAACAGTATTTGCACCGGTATTTACATTTCTGTTAGCCCAGCAAAGGTGGAGGTGGAAGGAAACAAGACTCACATCATAGTACATGTAAAATGTATATTTTGCTTCCTTGCTATTCTTTTTGAAGTCCAAATGTCAAACGTCAAGCTCAGCTATATGGGCAGATTGTTTCTTGATGATTATTGGGGATGTATTGTCACAAGATGGGGCCCTTACTGACCTCTCAGTGTTCTAGTTTACTCAAAAAAAAGTTATTATTTTGGCACATTTGGGGTGTATATATTATTATATTTTTTTTGTTATAAAATGCCGAGGATTTATCCAAAGGAAAAGGAGAGCAAAATCGGACACCAATATGACATCACATCAGAAACTGAGACAACATCAGACTAATGAGAAAGACATAAAAGTAATGAATTACCACAGAAAAAAAAAGAGAAAAAGAAAACCAGAGGTTCCAAAAGGGGTAAACTACTCCTGCAATGCATGTCACGTCTGTATGATGCCGAATGATAACTTTTAACCAAGAAATCCTAATGTTTAAAGTTAGCTCAAGGGTTGCCTGTTCTTAGACTTCAAACATCTTATCCCAAATGTTCAGATTTCTTCGCCTGCATCATACAGAATCTTTTATGTTCTTCTCCTACATTTTCCTATCGTAAACATCTGTTGTAAAGGAGACACCAATGCAGCCGCCATCATCACAGGCTGCTGACACGTATGACAAACCTGAGGATACCACCCAGTTTTCACTATATAAAGTGATGAGGCGATGGTGACGCTTTTCGGAATGTTAGCGCGTGTTAACTGTCGTGCTCTAGATAGGCTAAGACATTTACCATTTCCCTGGTTCAAAGGGAATGCACCTGTGAAGTGTTGGAGACAGTTATATATCCTGTCAACTCCATCAACTTATGGTACAAGTGTAGTCAACAGCGATCTTCTATGCAGAAGTCTTCAATCAAAGAGACATTTCACAGCTGGACATAAAGACATATGATCACGACCGAAAATCTCCTCAACGTAACTTATCAACGGGTAGAAAACGTTGATCAAATAGTTTATCGGTCAACAAAACACTTATCTAGAGATATTGACACTTAAAAACAGGCCTCGAACTGTGCTATACAAACTCGGAGAAGGGTTGTATTTTACTTCTCCGGAATGTAAATCATCGAGTAAAACACGTTGATTAGCTAGTTTCTCGGTCAAAAAGACGCATCTGTCTTGTAAATACTAACCCTGACAAATGTAAATCATAGAGTAAAACACGTTGATAAGCTAGTTTCTCGGTCAAAAAGACGCATCTGTCTTGTAAATACTAACCTTGACAAATGTAAATCATAGAGTAAAACACGTTGATTAGCTAGTTTCTCGGTCAAAAAGAGGCATCTGTCTTGTAAATACTAACGCTGACAACAGACTCCCAAGCTGTGCTATGTAACAGAAAGTTAATAACTTCTGCTTTGTAAGAAAAATAAGAAATGCTAGATTTATCCAGTTGATAAGAAATAATAGCGAAAGCTAGCGGCATTGTACCTCTAAGAAATTACAGAAAATGATAGCCCGAGTTTCCTCTGGCTCCTCTGTCTGTATCTGTCAAAATGTCTGGTGTCGGGGCCAAAGGAAACAAGGGCTAATGAATTGATGGTAGTACATAACACCTCAGTCACCCTAATGTTATGCATTTGGTTTCAAAATTAATCTGAAAATGCAAGCTCAAACCCCCTGTTTTCAACATACAACAAATAATTTTAGCTTGTTATTATATCCGTTTATTGAAATTATATATTTTGAAGCAGAAGGGTGTCACTACAACACAGCCAAACAGAAGGTACATAAGCGTGATATTGTTTGCAAATTATTTCAAAAATAAGCCACTGTGTAACTACCTTGACCTAGTGAATTAGGCTAAAAAATAAAAACACAAAAACAATCATGAATACACTAGTCACTACGTTTAAAACAGACACGTTATTCTACATCAAAGCATATTCACGTGAACGAATTCCACGACATCTTGCAATGTCGAGTGACAGTTGACTAGATGGAACATTCCTGAAATTTTAAAATTGAAATGCGATATTTAATGGGACGTACTGTTCTATTTGTAAGATTGTTTCAATTTTAGGTTTTTACCATCTGTAAATATATAGGGGACAGAACAACTCATTATGTTATGCATCTTTGGAATGGAACTCCTTGAACTAAAAAGAATATATGACAGGCGGTTAAAAGGCCCAATACTACATAATGTACTTCTAAAACTATGCCCTATCTGCGTAACAGTAATATATTTCGTTCATTGACTTCTCATCAGCTATATTAAACTGTCCTTTACCAGCGGGAGCTTATCGTTCTATCTACATATGCCATGCTATTAGAGAAAGGGAGTCTGTCAGTCTCATTGGTGGTTCGTCATATCAGTGGTTTTGCCACATACGTACATTTATGCAACCACTCTTCACCCATAAATAAATATATGTATGATATATTTCTACACATGTACATTGTTTTCATAACGATCAGAATATCGCAAAAAGTTCAAGTTATTTCACAGAAGGTCGGCTCTTACGGAAACCTTTGTTTTCTATTTCATACTTAAATTAACATGTGAATTGCGAATTATTTCATTATTATTTGTGGTACTACATGATTTTCGCCTTGATTTACAATGCATTTAAACCTCTCAAGTCAATAAATACACACACACACACTCTCAGTTTACATCAGTTACATTTTATACATACAAAATGTACATGTTGGTTAATCATGTGATATTAACGTATCTGCATTATTCTACCAATAGTTATATATTAATATGCCATCATTAATACAGCGAAGACAATACACAGGACATGATTCATTCAAATAAGGTTTACAGTTGCTGAAACAATATGAATCTAAAAAAACCGATCGATTTCGATTTTATCTTTCTGAAAGGTTAGTAACAATTCCATACTCTCAATAAATCCTGTTGTTCCTTTTCTATAAAATACGTGTTTTATCTTATTTACTGATATTTTGATATGATAAACTTATAGCATTATTACCAAGCAATGTTTATCATTATAAAATATAATCGGTGTGTCCAGAGAGTATCCGTTTTCAAATTGGCAACTCGACGTTTAGTTAAAGAAGAAGTATATACCTTAATTGGTCCATACACGTGGTACATCTATATATACCGCGGGCTAGTTTTATTGTGATAAGCTTGGAGCTTATACAACTGTTTAATTCTAGGTGAAACATACATACTGGTATTTAATTGGCACAAAGTTCAACATTCATACAAAAAGTGTTTTTGTTAATTTGCCTAGAGGAGGCGCCCTAATCAGTGATGAACATTTTTAAGAATATGGATGTGGGTAAGAGCTGGTCAGAGGTATGATGAACAAGATCGCTATTTAAGTAGTATAAAAATAGTATTTTAACTTTAACTGAAAGACAAGGGGTTTGTCATATACGTAAGTAAATACTGTGTACCGGGAATATTTGCGCCGCTGTTTAATTGTCACCTTTATCGTCCTTCGCAGTAGGTTAGTACCAATCATACCATATATGGTATTTTAATGTGTAGGGCGAAATTATACCGGGTAAAAATGGATTTTACCGGTGCATGGTGAATATCTGACTTGGCGAACGTTTCCTGGTATATAAGACAAAGGTTAAGATGATGAAGGAATGTTTTACACTATTGAGGCTAATTGTGAATAAAACAACCGGGTATAAATATAAACCGTGAACGTTCTGTACAAAACATCAGTGAAGTATACATCTTTCTATACGCTCATATACACACACTATTGATATCTACACGAATACCGTGATCATTATATCTCAAAACTGAAAATCCTAATTACTTTCTATTTAACTATTTGTAAACATATACAGGTAACAAAACGTCAACGCTGGATCTGTAAGTAATATGAGGTTAGTTTGAGGTTGTAACAGCCACAGGGGCTGTCTGAAGCATCATTTTGACGGAAGACTGACGAACAGCAATATAAGTGGTTTAAACATGTAGAGACGCACGTAGCACTGGGTGTTATATAAATAGGTAAATAGTATAGAATGATTGATGTTTTTCATGTTATCTAACTCGAAACGTCTTAAAAATACTTGGCAAACATAACTAAATTAATGAAATTGAAGGATTTAAATTATTAATGGTAAAACAAACTGAATGCTTTCTCATAACTTTTTGACGATCTCAACACGTGATACAATTCATTCAGGTAACACTTGCCACTTCATTTTGTATATAAAGATAAATCCCTGGCTATTCTTTGTTTGGAATCTCCTTCTTCAGAACTAGCTGTGACACATCATTGTTACAGCCATGTGATCTGATCGACCATTTGGTTTGCCTTTTAAGTACATTGTATTAACAAACGTTTCTTTTTATTTGCGTGGTCTTGAAAATACATTAGTTAATAATGCATTTAAGTAGACGAACATTTATTTTACAATTTGTTTCTTAGGAATACAAATCAAAACGAAAATTACAATATTATCTTTATTGTTTTTTTAAAGAGTAAATACAACTTAAATCACCTACACTCGATATGAAGATATTGGCAATTAGCTTATTGTACTGTTAATAACATCAGCGGTCGTAACTTGATGTTAGCTGAATTGTGTATACTCTTGTTTCAATTCATAACTAGAAGGCATATGCGTAGCATATATTCTACAATGCTTATCTCGGGAAAAACGTGCAAGTAAATTGGTTTTATGATGTCAGAAAAGTTAGGAATATGCATTATGATGAAAATACTTACTTCCATAACAGTATTTTTATCATTTTTATCTGGTTTCTGTTGCTTCATAATTCAGATCAAGCAAAATAACTTTTTTCGGGAATAATGTAGCGTTTTCCAATATCATTACGTTCTGCTCTGGCCATTTCCGTCAGACGATGTACTTTGATGGGAAACCGTACGAAAATCCCCGTCAACGTTTAAATTTGACGTCATGGCATGCTTAGCCTCCAATTGTATGACGGAAAGACGCCAGAACAATCTGTAATTGTAAACATTTACATATATATATAGGTTTTGTTGTTTTGATTCACAACATGTTGTGTTGGTGGGTTAGTTTGGAAGCTGTGCAAAGGGAATGTAGAACGCTGGTGTGACATTCAGCTGTACATGACTACAGCGATGTAATATATCATGCCGCACTCCAGAAATATGCCAGGCTATTATGCTAACATCCCGTGTAATATACGGTATTGATAATGAATTTAATAATACTTTATACCTATCAATCTATATTTTATATACACCATTATGATAGTATTATCGACTTGTACATTAACTTAATTACTTATGTATTATCGACTTGTACATTAACTTAATTACTTTGGTATATATTACTGTAAACATTTATTTATATATATATATCACATTTCATCATCATGCTTCCATTTTCTTCTTAATTATGCCACATATTTTTCTCCGTGTATTCTTCACATCACAGTTCGCTTGTGTCTAGACTTGGTGCGGACGTTATATCCATATCTGTATAGATGCCCATAAAGGAGCTTGCTTTGTTTCTTCTCTTTGTACTCGGGAGTTGTTTAATCGTTGATCGACACAAAAAAACTTTCTTTTCATTCATCACACTTAATCCAATATATACAGTTTTTCAATGAATTGTCTTATGTTGAAACTAATTACGCGTTGCTGGTTCTTGTGGAAGAATTCAAGTATTAGAATGGTTTTACCATTTCACCACTTTCTCCTGTATTATCTTGTAAACACGTACACTACGTTTCGGATTAATCTGAGCTCATCGGTCTGATTGTGTCATAACGATTTGAAATTTTTCACATTATCAGAAACAGTTTTTGAGCAACTCATATTTAGTACTTCTGTCATCCGCCATCTCACCACTCCATTGACTCTTTCTGAAATGTTAGTTTAGGACTGTTTTCCGTGTAAAATTGTGCGTACCACCGTCTATGTTTGGCAATTAAACTATCCTCTTTGGATTTAACGAACATTGGCTTGCTAACAAACGTCTTATTGTTCCATATCATCACGTCCCGTTCAACCTGAAAAAATAAGATGGTAAATATATTATATAAGACGAAAAAGGCACGAAGTGATAAACAATATGTCTTCTAGATGTACATTATACTAACGAACGTATCGTTTTATATTGTGACGACTCTGATACTGTCAATCCTTTCATTTTTGCGAATACCTATTTTCACTTCTAAAATATCTGGGGTTTTGTTTTTGTTTTTGTTTGTTTATCGTCCTATAAACAGCTAAGGTCATTTAAGGACATGTCTCCATGTGTATTATGAATGCTTGCTTTCGTGTATGCGAGATTGAGACAGGGTATGCTGGCGTTATTGCCTCTTTGTGATAGCGTGGATCTGATGCCGACTTTATAGTGCTATCTCACTGAAATACCACGCCGAAGGCACACAGCACAGCATTCCGCCCGGTCACATTATACTGACAGCGGGTGCACCAGTCATTGTCAATTCCTACTCTATCACCATATTAAAATCTGTTTGCTATATAGACGACACTGACGATGAATTCTATAACAGTTCCGCAAATGTTGTTTGTCGTGAAGTTTACGTCTGAAAATGCAATCTTGATGATCTTTGTACGGAAAACCTAGATATTTCATAAAGTAACGCAATTTTACAACAGGATCACAATATAATATTGTACAAATATACATGTATAAGCTGAGTACAGTATTCGTGCTCAAACTCAAATTCTTTGTTGAACAGCATTTCCTACTTTAAGTGAAATACTTTATTTAAAAAATGTTTTCCATTTTAATGAAGCGTAGAAATCGAGTTTCAGAACAATGTGTGCTGCTAACGTTTTTGACCTCGCTGCAAAATATAATCTAGTAGCGGTTTTATGAACACAAGATGTATATCATAACTGCCTGGGTGATGTTTACATATGCCCACGGAAACCAATAAATAAATAAACAACCAAGAATATAACCATATTGTTACCGCGTTAATGGTACACGATTTCATGTCAATTATTCTGCCTTACCTGGAGTGCCTCTCCAAGCATGAAGAATTTGGCAATTATCGTCGGTACTTTTCTGTCCATATAGATATTGTGAACTAATTTCTGCACCATTGGTTCGACAGGAGTGAGCGACTGTACAAATACACCGCTCCCAATTGGCGAATCAAACTCTAAATAAACAATCGCTGGACCAATCTGAAATTAATAATGTTAGACTTGAAAAGAAGAAGATCATCATTACGTAGAACAAAAATACATGTACATAGAACTATGTTTTAATAGGAGCGCATTATTGGAATTAAGGGAAAATCTGAAGTTACGTATCTGGTGATGCAGATCTTATGGGCGTCTTGACTTTGATCGCGTTATAAATTATTTTAAAACTAGCGACATTGTATTAAACGCTTTGCTCACAATTTCATGTGCGAGTAAAAATGAATTCGTAATGGGAATCATGCAGAGTAATGAGTATATTCATAACCTTTGTAATATAAAACACAGTTTTTATATTAACATGTTGTTTACATGCATCAATATATATATTGAGTTCATGCAGGGTTGATGTTTGAACGAAATGTATCGCTGACATTCAATAAAAGAGCTGTGAATGCATCGAGCTGGCTTGAGCCGTGCGAGCAATGTATTTACCTACCTGTTGTGCCCGAACGTCCATATCGATGAGCGGCAAGTGTTTACCGAACAGGTTTAGACTGTGTGTGAGTTTAAGAGTTCCAATATGTTTTTCTGGAGCGGGATTCTGTTCCCATGCCGCGGTCCATTTGTGATGTCCAAATGACCAAAATGTGTTCCACATTTCTTTCAGATCTACCCCAGCCGAGATCATAGGACCATGTACCTGAGGTAGGTGTGATACGTCAGCACCATTCTCGGGAATTTCCTGGAAAAAAATAGAGACGATAAGTTCATGAGGTGTTAGCGAACACATGTGAAGTAAACACATGTACATTTTTCGAAACGTACTCACCACAACAGCACAACAAATCATGACGCGGTTGTAATTAAATTTCCAGATGAAACATTCCAATAATCATAATTCAATTCGACCATGAAGAAAAAGGAAACCACAATTAAACGCTCTCCAGAAAACCAAGCCTCATGCCCTCATACATGTGCCCTCAGTCCACCTGTCGTAACCGTCATTGTACGTACCTCTATGTGGGCATTTATGTGGTGCTCCGTTCGCCCTCGGTACGTCCACCTGCCATTGTTGATGTTGTCCAGATTTGGGATCTCCCACTCGGGCACATCTTTGTGCTCCTTTTCCGCGTGGTGCCATAGATAGATCCAACCGTTTGTTTCCTTGGAAACGTACGCCTTCACTTTGGTAAAATCTGGCACTGCAACAATGTATGGTAACACATTTATTCTAAACATGTAACTCACTGTTGTTGTTTGCACTTGTATGTTTGTAATACAGCATTGTAACATCTACTTAATGCAGGAAAAATAAAAAATAAAATGACATTTTTGCACACATAATCGGAAAAGCATTTTGAAAGCATAGCGCTGAAATAGAATTAAATATCATATTTCACCACATTAATAGAAAGTGTTTATATGGGTAAATTACCAACGTCTACAGGCCTTACTTTACATCTCCATAATTCTAACATGTGCCTAGACTGGATTCCAGCCCCTAAGTTTTTATGAAAAAATTCTCAACTGCATTTTACTACTAGCTCGAAATAATGTCAGGTGGGAGTTTATTCCACTCGGGTATAGTTCGAAGAATGATGCCCTTCTGGTCTGGGTTTTTGAGTGGGGAATTTGATACGAAAACTGGTGGTTTGTTCGGGATTTTCTAACTGTAGGGATTAATCTGTCTGATTTTACGACAGCGACTTTCTGGTTTACAATATTATGAAGCATGGTCAGACGAGCATACACGTGTAGGTGCATTCAAATGTGTTACGCTCATTTTTGACACGTTTTCGTATCCAAATGTACCAAAATTAACTTTATAGCAGTAATTTACTGTAATATATTACAGTATATATTTTGAAATATCAGTTTTGGGTTTATGATATGAAATAGATATTGTCATTTTGTCTTCTAAAGAAGAAGAATAAACAGGTATATATAATAAATCCATATTCATAGTCAAGATGTCTTCTAAATTAGTTAATTCACTGAAAATTCATGTCTGATGAAGCAAAAATATTGAATGATATTTGCTTATCGAAAGTTGTGTTTGATATATAGATAACGAGTTATGGTTACATATCCAATTAACAGTTAATGTTCGTTATTGCATGGTTCATTTCTCCTTGGTCGATATGTAAAGTATATGGATAGGTCGCATACGTGAAGATTTTTTACAGGGAGTATTCTCCCTTTTTATACAGAAGATTAAGCAGTTATCTGGCTTAAAAGTCATTATCCTTGGGAAAATTGTCAGATGATTTTTTATACTTTATTTCCTTGCTTAGGTCTTAGGTTTTAATTGATGCTTGTATAAATTTCGCTTTAATTTCGACATAATAGCAAGTCGAATGAATATTTTAACAGACTGTGATTCTGTTAAATACAAGTTTTGTACCGAATCGATCCATTAAACTGACAAACATTTGATAATAGGTGCAAGTGGTAGTAAACTTCATGGTACCTTAAAGTGTTTTATAAGAATCCTATAAAAGCGTTAAATTTTGGTGAGATGTCATTTCGATTTTGTGTGGTTTTACAGAAATTTCAACCACATGAAATATAGCATGTAAAAGTTTAAAATTTAGTCGTGAAATGTTTCCGCGCCCTCCATCTTAATCCACCACAGCAATGACAAACTTGTGATACAATTAAAGCAAAGCTAAAGGTAATACACACAGAGATTCATATTATATATGTCTTCCATTGATGCACCAAGGGACGCTTGTTTACAAGCCATGTTGTAAACAAGAAAGACGACAACACACGGAGTAAACGTATTACAAACATCATCCAAATCATTTACAATCATCATAAAACTTCGTTAAAGATCTATTATGATCATTCTATGTTAAAATCCTCCTGTTGTAAACCGTCCACATCTGCAGTTTTAATGAAACCTTATGTGCTCTGCATGTTTAATCGTTGTAAATGCTTATCCTAGTTAAAACTAAACCGATTGAACTGTTACTAATGCAAAACTCTACATGTGGCCGATATGTCTATGACGCGTTTCGTGACAGTTTGCTTAATTTTGAAGAAAAGGCTTTAATAATGGTAATCGGTTCTCTGTTTTTGTGTGATAAAATAGGATGGTTTGCATATAAAACAAGAAGCTAACAGTAATTGATTCATTCTGTGTAACTTGTTACTGTATTTTAATATGCAGCTTTGATTTATAATACTGAATAAAAAGATTTGTCAGCTTTACAAGCGGATCAAACGGCGAGTTGTAAATGGGTTGTATACCTAGCAGAAAGCCATCCAACAGATACTCAAGAACACCAGTCAAGAGACGTGCTTATACGTCTAGCTAAAAGATTAGACGCTCATGCCACCCAGTGGGAAGGGAAGTGTAGTAACGGAGAAGGAAGCGGGACTTATCTTCCGGTGCACCTGATACCAAGTATTACGGTCAGACTATTGATAATCTAGGGATGTCTATGAGATCATTCAGATAAATCTGTATCAGTATATCTACATAACATGTAGTCAAACGAAGGCGTCCATTTATCAATTAAAGGAGATCATGTATTTTTAATGATCCTTTCCGTCCATGCATGAATCACATGGGCAATATTTGGCTTCATACTGTAACTGTTTTCACAGTAGTTTACCCGATACCTCATCGTTAAATGTTTAGTTTGGTTACCGAAATCTGCCTTGTAGTTACCTGGACAACATGTCACAGTCTGATTATTCAAGTATGTTAATGATATCAACTTAACCCTTTTGATGAACGATGTAAATGTAACCCTAGTGACTGAAACCAGCCAAACTGTTACGTTTTTATTAATATTATAAAGCCATTATACATTTGATAAACCAATAGATATACATGCTAGTGTAATCGTAGGTATGATATATATCAACACTTAGCTCTCCGGAAAGAAACGGAAATAGTGTATTTAGGAGTCGATGATACATGATACAGTATTTATTGCCTTGCTTAGTGTAGCTTGAGCGTTATACTATTTAGTGACTACATTAATCTTAACAAATTTTAATTCACAAAATCCGGGCAAATATTTTAAAGGGACAAGTACATGAACAATAAATGAGCATGAATTGTAAAATTAAATATAAGTAAACTGTGTTGTAATATCATTACGTGCACACTAGATATTACAGTATAGAGGTATTTTAGCATAGTCTAACCTGCTCCAAGAACGTGAAGCTGATGGCAATAACAAGGAATTCGAAAATCTTATATTGGGAATGGTATTGTAATTTATGTTTCAAAGAAGGGGTTGTTGATTAAAGATAATTTATGAGGAAAAAGGACCGATTCCATTCTTCATTTTTAATGGCACCGTACTTTTCCTTCCCCTCAGTGCAATACCGCTTTTATTAGTTGTTGTATCACTAGACCGGTAATAAAGGTTCTTTCTGGTCTTAAGAGGATATTTAGACATTCTGAGAACATGTCTCTCCTTCATTACAGAGAAATAACCGAAACTTTGCACATGAACTAAAAACAGTTGGTTTAAATTCACTAATCATTGATTTGCCCTAATCGCAAACGATTTTAAATCACGATCACCTATTTCAAGACAGAAGTCAAGAGGATTTTAAAATAGACGCATGAGTGACTATCATTAATCCCCGATAGATATTGAACCCTTTCAATGTTCTACATATTTACTGATTTAGCGTGTTTGTTTAACTGTTGCGTCTTGGAACGGCCTTGGCGTGGAACGTTCCAAAGCATACCTTATTGTAGTGCGTGTGTTTTTCCGTGGTGAAGAGGTATTAACTGCCTAGACTCCTTGGGTGTGATATTGTACCAGACAATGTGAACTGTATATACACCCGGTTTTATCTCTGTTTTTTTCATTGTCATGATGCTGAATTATTACAAGGTTTAATTTAAGAAGTTTCAATATTTTACTGATCCTTTTATATATTGATGATGGTCTACCTCGAATAGCGAGCACTTGCTGCATATTATTTATCCTCCAGAGAGGTTTCAATTAACGATAGCTCAATTTACTCTTGGTCAGCTTTGTATCCTGATATTAACCTTTAGTATAACAATACTGATCTCCTTACTACCAAACTATATGAAAATTCCGATGACTTCAATTGTCTTATATTTCCCTAGTAGTGACACATCAGCTTCCCCTGCCTAATAAGTTTGCACGTCAAGACTAATCCACTACTTAAACTAAGCAGTAGGGTTGTCTTAACCGATCCATCCTATTGATCATTATCCTACTCTGTCAGGGTTTTCAACCTGACATACCTGCCAAGTGACCCAATTTTGTCGGGTTACACCCGGGATTTTAGCCCTTCATCCGCTTTTATAACTTCACCCGCCGGGTTACGATTTTGACCCGGGTTTCGTCAATTTAACCCGTTTTCACCCGGAATCTTTTCGTATATTAGAAGTAACTGAAGGCACTCGGAATTCTCTAGACTCTTCCATCCTTCTTCACAAGAAAGATTATCTATTTCCTGTTTCCGTTTCTCACCAACAGGTAAGTTGTGAGTTGTTTATATACGTACTAGAACTGTTTTTACAAATGTTTATATAAAGACTGTTGTTACTGAATTGCCTACAAGTAATTAGTCAGGTGTTTTAACGAATAATTGAGTTGTTTTTACAATTGTATTTTCGTAGAATAGATCGTATTTTGAAGGTAACGTTATGTCTTCTTGAAGGAAGAAGTCATTATCGGGACTTGCAGGTTCTTCTTCACGAAATGCTAAAAGAAAAGATAATTGTGCACATATCAAATGTCGTAGGAAAATGAGTTATAGTGTATAAAGTCCCGCGATCATGGACGAAACGCTGCATTCTGCACTCTAGTCAAAAACGTGCACAGACATTTGATGATTTGTTTCTGTCAATCAAAATGATCCTAACAATAAGAGTTCAAACCCTACTCGTATAAAACTGATATTTTATATGAGAAGGGTACAACTTCTTATTGTCAGGACCATTTTCAATGACAGAAACAAAATGGTATTTTATATGAGCAGAATGTGACATCTTATTGTCAGGACCATTTCAATTGACATAAAAAAATGTCTGTGAAAACACAGTATCATATATATTATCATGAGTTAATTTTATAAGTTGTTGTTGACAAATCTTTTTATTTTTCAGCTTTGAATTTGGTATTGTGGATGAGAATAATCTAGCTCTGCTGGAAGAACAGTTCAATGAATGAAGTATGTAACTTTTACATCATTAAAATATTTAAGTTATAATTTAATATCTATTTTTCTTATATTTCTTGCGAAAAAAAGCCGTCGCGCGCTATGACCCTCTTTTTTATTTTAAAAAGAGGGTCATCACCCTCTTTTAGTATATCTGGGGTTGGTAGGTATGACCTGAGATACTTCAATCAACGTTGACGTAATGTGTCAGTCACCATGGTGACATCATTTCTTTATATGAAAAATCAGTCTCCACCATGATGGCATACGTCACGAAATTGTCTACAACAAGTTCCCATTCTTATCGGAAATGATAACAGATATGTAACGTATACTAAGTCCTTGAATCTTTATTGTGTGGTTGATATCAGATTATTGGCGACACATTGTGGGATCCGTATGTTGTTTTCCTTTAAGTTTTTCTGTGTCTTCTTGTTTACGTTCCCTTATAAATACACGGACCACAGAAAATCATTCCACATGTTATTTCGTTTTAAAGCTTCATCGTTATTTCCTCTTTTCCATAAAACAGTTTTACGACAAAGATAATGAAACCTATCCCACTTCTGATCTCGTCTGTTGCCAATCGACTCGCGTTTGACCAATCATTGGTTTACTGATGTTAAGGCCTCTTGACACCTGATCCCGTGCCCGGGGTTATTTTGTTGTACGTATACTACATACGATTAACAAGCCCAAGGCGCTGGTGATGTAGACATGACATATAAAGGGATCAATAATAACTCTCTCCATAGCGCTGACTTCATCCTCTGTTGCCACAAGTGTGCCTAACTAATAAGGTACTCGATGGATCGTGTAACACTGTTACGAAAACTGTTTTCGTTATTTAGATTTCTGACCTTTTTTCAAAATTATTAAAATATCAAACATCAAAACCTGTTTTGAATAAAAAATAAAACGAATTTTTCTTATTGCAGTTCATGTTTATAGTATAACCTTACTTCTCGACCTAACGACAAGTTCGTGCCCGCATAGACTGACCAGTTCATGACCACACTGACGTCAATTGGTACATATAAACGGTTTAAGTCGTTGACCAATTCATATATTCTATTTATATAATAGAAATACGTCACAGGGTTTATAGAAAAATCTTTTAATTCGGATAAGAATAGCATTTGTTACATTTCCATTGAAAGATATTTTGCGAAAGTGTGATTTGTTCAATGGATGGTCGTATTGAAATAGTTAAAGGACACTGGGCATGAGACATGTATTATTGTATCAAGTATAACTGTACCTAATACTTAAAAGTACTATTGTCTGAATTAATATTATAGCGTATAGAAAAGACTTGTTTTAAATTAAGTTAATCCTATCCTCGAACAACGTGTCATGTTGTGATTTTATTTTGTAGTTAAGGAGGTCCCGAATCAGTAATTTGATGAGACAAACTCCTTGACATTTTTTATGACAATCCATTAAACAATACGACCTGGGATTTCTCCCATTGAATATTACGACTTAAATCTTTTATGACATTTTCCAGACGTGCTTAAAATAGAAAACAAATAATCGTGTTTGCCATTATCGGTGTTAATATCTAAAATTCCACCATCTTGATATTCTATATCTATTTACTTCATGGGTCATCATAATTTTGTAAGGAAATGACAAGCTTCTGTTCATATCTTATATCATGAACGCAAGAGGGGTAAACAAAATGGGGGAGGACAGTATAAGATGACAAACACGTGGATTTCGTTTGTTCTAAAAAATTTCATCATTTTACTGTTTGTTTTTGTGATTTTTTTTACACAATTTTACATAATTACATGCCTGTATTATTGTTTAGGTGGTGTGTGACTAAACTATTAAACGAACGAATGATCCAATATAAAGTACTATATGCCATTTGGTCGCCATGTTTATATACATTGTATGCAAACAGGACCAAGCACTAAGAAATGAGGAATCAGGTTTTACCATAACTTTCACACAATATGCAAGGAATGCTATATTTATAACACGAGATTCATTGTGTCATCCTTATTTGTTCCATATCGTCTTACGTCAGAAAAGGAATATTTTGCACTTGATTTCTTTATTTGAAGTAAAAAACCTTACCTTTCTCAGCATATGGAATTTTGGTGGCCTTCCCGTCTGTCCCTCGGAACTGCCAGCCGTGGAACGGACACTCGATACAGTTACCAACAACGCGGCCCCCGATCCCTAGGTTAGCCCCCATGTGGGGACAGTAGGCATCCAGCACGTGACTCTCGCCATCTTCTCCACGAAATACCGCTAAATGAAGACCTGGAAAATAAAAACTAAATAAAAACATGTACAGTATTACGTCATTTACGGTAATAGAATGTATGTGGTAAGCCGAATATGTTTAAACATCGCTGGGATTCCTGAAACCCTTTGGTTAAAAACAGAACCATAGAGGGTCAGTAAGATTTATAGGGGGCGAGGGCGGAGCCCGAGCCTCCTATACATCTAACTGACCCTCTATGGTTCTGTAGAGGGTTAGTAACTGGCTATATAACGAATTTATCGCATCGAGGACCCCTTTTGCTTAAAATGAAAATGATGTAATGCATAACATCATTTTCATTTCTGTTCATTTTTGTATCTGTTGTTTTAGTTTTGAAGCGGTGAGCAATGGGCGGCCATATCGCCCTATAATGGTATCCTACTGACCCTCTATGGAAAATTAGAGGGTCACCACGTGATAGCTCTAAACCAATGGTTTTTGGACATTTTTGTCCGAGGTGCGATAATGATACATATGACGTCCTGTCTGTGTTTTTCAATTCATACGATTAAATATTGGATATTGAAATCAATTATAAAAGAGAAATGAGACAAAGTCTTTATACAGAAGTACATTAAAAAAAAGAGAGAGTAATGAAAACTCGTATAAATGAAGTGCTTAGCGTCCCGCCAGACCCTTGGTACATATGATAAGCGATTTGTTTTTCCTCGATTACTCATCAAGATAGCGATGGAATCTCCCATCAGAATACAAAAAGATCATTTTACATGAAAAATCTCCCCTGCGATGTCTTCTAGAGTGAAAGGTATGTTGAATTGTAGTATACATAATAGCGATCATTGCAGTAGATACAAGTATAGCTCGGTGTATAATTCTTAACACTGTCTACATTCACTATGTACATGAATATAAATACTAGATAAAAATATGAAATGTCATTAAAGTCATTGTGATTGTAAATATATAGAAAAGAGATGACAAAGATATACTAAGAAGCCCCCTTGTGCTTCCACGGTGTTCAGCAGGGACTCGTTCGTGTTTTCCCTTTATGAATCTCTGAAGAGGTCAAAGCGCAAGTGAGCTGCTCAGAAACTCTTCGTTTTGTTGAAGCTAACGTCAGCGCTTCAAACCTCTTAAAAACGACACTGATGATCACCGAGGGTATCGTAATCTACAACATCTACATACATGCGAACAAGCATACAAGACGAATAGACTCGATGAAAGGACAAACACATTATAAACAGATAAAAATACACGTGGCATTTCGTTGTAAATGCTAAGGTTATATATCACTGTTATTTAAAACATTTATACTAAAAGCATGTATTTTTAAAATGTATATCCAATACATTTACGATCCTGAAAAGGGGTTTATTTGAAATTGTCGTTACTTTTTATGAAACCTGTATAACAGGTTTTTTGGTTTTTTTTTGTGAAAGTAGGAAAACTAAATGCATAAATTGTATATAACATCCGGCAGACGAGACGTAATGGAATATTTTTGGTTTTATCTAAATGTCATCAAACTCCCTAAGCTAATATGATCCGTCAATACTTCCGACGGACAACCTTTTCATCTTTCAAAAATCATATTTTGCTAAATGTGAAACTGTGTAAATGTGAAACTGTGTTGTGATACTAAGTGTAGTTTGGATGTGATACATTATCGACTTGACAATCCCTGGCAGCGTTCACGTTGAGTCAGATCACAACGTTCATGTATATCCACACCTGTCCAATCCCATACGTTTGGTCACTGGCATTATGATTGATGCCCTTCGTCTCATAGTATTGTATAATGTTATTGTTTAACGTTTGTATTGACAGGGGGGAGTGTGTTACCCCGAAGTCAGAAACAGTTCGTACCGTTGCCCCAGTATCACATGCACTTTGCACCTATTGATCAAAGGTTTATTTATACACTCTGACACACTAAGTGGGTTTAAAGTTACCCCAGTGTCAGAATGGTTTTCTTATGTAAAGCCTACCTCACCAGTAACTGGTACACATTAACTACCGTAGTCAAATCAAATAGACGTTTCTGATGGCAACAGGAAAATATTTTGATATTGAGATCGACCTCACTTTTCAAGGGTCACCTGATTTCTGACCATGAATATATATGTATATAAGCTATCCAATATTGAAAATAGTTCTTGACTCACCATTCTTAATTTACCATAGGTTACAGAGAAGTGACCCAGTTTTCTTATTTACATATTTGTTAAGTTACTTAGTTAACCATTTCTTCCAAACTTCAATAATGGCCTGCTAATATTCGACCCAAGATCAAACAAGTGTCCACGTGTGAATGCATTTGGTATAGGTAACGGACTGTAAAAATGTTTGATAAATACAAATATTTTATACTGATTCTTTCTCACCAATTTTGACCTTTAATAACGTATTTTAGTAGATATAATTTAACGTTGGATCCTGGATCTAAGATGCAAACTTGTATTACTGACTGAAGATATTTATGTTACAGAAATAAGTATGATGTCTACAGGTAACTGTTTATTATACGGTACCTACTGGATACTGTTTGTAATGCATAAGCATGTGTAAATATCCTGAAGAAGACACTATTTTCCTTGCACTAGTACTTTTGGTTGTTAGAGTTCTTACGTCCTCGCAAGAGCCAGGGTCATCCTTATGTATGAGGACGAGTGCCTAGGGAGACACTGTCGGAAAGAGAAATTAGATAGGAAAGAACGAAGACAGAATACGCAAAACATTCTAGGTGTTGAAATTGGGACAAGATATCAATTTTGGTCTGGCTCCTGTCCTCTTCGTAGAAGACAATGAAAAATAACCGCGTTTGTGCAGGGGCCCCCACACCAGCTACCATTTTGCGATACACAAGCGGTGGGATAGAAGCAGGTCTAATATTTTGAAGACATCAAGATAAGAAATCTAAGATAAATTCTGAGTCACTCCACGTTGTCAAAGTTGTTTGCTAAATTTAACATGTGTAAACATATTACATAAGATATCTGAAGAATTTTTAAAACAAGCAGGCCACGACTTTACAATTTCATGATATTCTAGACAGGACTATTTGACAAGGTATATATATTGAACTTGTAAAATGCCAGTCTAAGACAAACAGTTATAAATATATAGCCTTGCAGACGACAAGCCCTTGTTATTTCGATAAAAATAGTTCACACGGTTGGTCAGTCGCGACGTAGTGTGTCCTTGAACGAAATAAAAAATGATTGGTTCTTTGTTCTTCAAACAAACATACTGCGTACCTCTTCGAAATTCACAAGTTCCCTGTGCAGATATAAACATACTACAATTAGTACTAAGTAGACTACAGACTGTTTATAATTAGTAAATTCACAAGTAAACGGTTTCTGCTCTTTTAATGTAGTGATATGCCCTTCTTCTATATCATGCACTATGTTGAATAATGTCCCACGGTGACATAGAATGATGTTTACATCTCTGTGGAATCGCAACTATATAACCATTCCATGTTTAGATGACATTCATATCGTCCATGACTGCCATGGCACACCTGTTTACGTTATCATTATTATGACGTCAACAAAGATTTCACTCTTCAGAATTGCTGATAATTTCATTGAGCAGATATACACGATATTTACACTCATTTGAGCTTAATGGTTTAGTCTTTATTTTGATAAATGCCATTAAATATGAAAGTGAAATAAAAATGGTAATGTAAAACAATTAACCGCCTTCACTTGGCACATCCGTGCTTCGTGTTGAATTTTCCACGTTCCATTTGGCATTGATATCCACTATGAATGGCAAGTGAGAGCAACAGTAGAATGTGTCATATAACGAAAATCACGTCAAGGGATTGTGTAAATACGATTTTTATGCAATATTTTATTCAACGCAGCGAAATAATTTTATACATTTTTGCTTTAGATTACAATATTATGCTACTCAATGTGTTTTGTAATCATGTCCTCTTTTTCAATCTTTTTAATGATCGTTATTGCAGCTTTGTTGACACAGATGTGTCAAGCTACCAGATGAAGTGTTCTCGTCAAACAAACAAACAAACAAACAATACCGTCCAACTTAAACGTTTATCGCGAAATGATCAACATTAATCAAATGAGTTTAAACAGCATTATGTTCTATGAACATGTTTACGATTACAATCGGTGAACCTCAAGAGCTTGCAAGCTTTGCAGTCAAAGAAGTCGGGACCGTTCGATAACCATCGTGTTTCTTCCTATCGCATGCAGGCGTTGTTGCCGTTACTACCATGTACCACATATTTATTGAATTAAGCACGCGTACATGCTACCGGATCCGGATACGCTACTGCAATGGTTGGCATCAAAGACGGCTGTCGATGAAACGTTTAGGTATCAAAACACGCAGTGATGTCTGTGTAAAACTTAAACTCAACAACAGAGAGAAATATTTTGAAGTCAGTCACGTGATAAGCTTGTTCTAACAGATATTTTGCACATATGTTTATTGTAATGCAAACCTAGTCTAAAGTCTAATACCATGGCAAGCCTACAGTGTATAGTCTAGTATGATTATAGGCCTATAGTCTAAAGTCTACTGTGATGACAAGCCTACAGTATGTAGTCTAGTGTGATGCGAGCCTACATTATATAGGCTTATGTGATGACAGGTCTACAGTCTGTAGTCTAGTATGATGATAGGCCTACGGTCTGTAGTCTAGTGTGATGACAGGCCTACAGTATATAGTTTAGTATGATGTCAGGTCTACAGTCTGTAGTCTAGTAGGATGACAAGCCTACAGTGTATAGTCTAGTGTGATGACAAGCCTACAGTCTGTAGTCTACTGTGATGACAGGCATACAGTCTGTAGTCTACTGTGATGACAGGCATACAATCTGTAGTCTAATGTGATGACAGGCCTACAGGAGATAGCCTAATGTGATGACAGGTCTACATTCTATAGTCTAGTATGATTGTAGTCAACTGTGATAACAGGCCTACATTATATAGCCTAATGTGATGACAGGTCTACATTCTATAGTCTAGTATGATTGTAGTCTACTGTGAT